AATACTTTTAAATAATAAAAATAATTATAAGTTATAAAATTAAAACTATTCATATCATATTTTATCTTGTTTATAATCATTAATAAAATAATCTTACAAATAATATTAATTTATTATACTTGAATATTAAATTGAATTTTTTATTTATATATTATTATATTATTTTTTTTATATGATACTTAATTATATTTTTAGCTTTTTATCATATAGTTATATATATATTCTAGTTATTTTTAAAGATTATTTATTATAAACTGAAGTAAATGAATATAATTTTTAAGAATTTGATGAGTAATATCAACTTATATATTTATTTTATAAATAATTTATTATTTTATTTGAATATTAATTTTATAAGTAATATGAATTAATCATATTTATAAATCAAATTCATTATATTGAAATTATTTTTAATTTTATAAAAAGTGAATTGATTAGAATTTAGAAGATTTTATCAAAAATAATCATATATAATAAGCTAATTATAATATCTCATGTAAAGAATAATCTTTTAAATAATTTTGAACTTTTACAAGTTCAGAAAAAATTAATTATATAATTTAAGTCAGTTTCTTGACTCTTTATTACTTATATATCATTTAATTTAAATCTTTTTTAGTCTTATATTCTTTTAGTTCCTAATTAAAATATAATAAAACTAAGATTACCAATATATAAGATAAGACTATTAAGCAGATTTACTAATATTTGAAAAAGTAAATAGTTAAATTAGCTATACATAGCTCTATTTTCTAACTAATATATATAGTAACTCTCTTATAAAAAAATTTAATAATAAAAATTTTCAAAAATTCACTATATTAAGAATTTATTAATAAATTTACTATATCAAATAGATTTTATTAAAGATAGTATTCACTATATCATGAGTTTAATTAGTCTCTACTATAAAGACGGTACACTATAAAGAGAGTCACTATTTACTTTTTAAAACTGAGCTGATTATAACAAAAGGTTAATTAATTATAAAACTACATACCTTAAACTACTTGATTTCATAATTCCAAGTTATCATATCCATCGTAAATTCAAAGAGTCACGAGCCAATTAAAAATCATCTGATCTTCGAGAAATATTCTGTTACACGAATTAAATTTGGAACTGCACTAAGATCATCGGGGAGGACATGTCCTATGACTGGTAATGCAAAATTGTCTCACCGATATTTTTCATTTTCTTGCGTCGGAGGGTTGACCAAAAATTCGCGCACAGATTATGTCTGAATATTATAATTTCAAATTCATTTTATCTTCATAATTTCTTAATATTCTTTTTTTATACTTAATACAAATTAAATAAAAATACTTTATAAATATAAATATAATATCTAATTATTTATGTTATAATTTCTTTTTACCAAGAGGTTTTACTAATTTTGCGAATTCAATATCATAAAGTTACAAATATCTTCGAAAGTATTGTTAAACTGATATAAATATATATTAGCTTATTAACATCATGGCCCGTTTCGAACTTTCTCTCTTTTTTTTTCTTCGTGTGCAGAACTTGTCTTCGCGTACTTACTTTTTTCCACTAATAATGGTATATTTTTACCCGTGAGGTAAAGTTTGTTTTTATGAATATTTATGTCTTCTTTCGAGTGAACTAAATGTCGAGCAAAGATAAATCCAGTCATGTAAGCATCAAAAAAAGCATTGTGATATGTCCCAGAAGTGCAATCACTTTCTTCAATTTCATCAAGTGATGATGATGGTGATTGTGATGATGATGATGATGATGGTGATTGTGATGATGTCGACGACGATGATGGTGGGGATAATGATTGTGGTGAAGACGATGAAGATTGTGCGCTTTTATAAATATCTGTTGAATTGTCTTCAATTTCTATAACAGGGTTCGAATCTAAATTTGAGACTTTTGATTTTACACATTCTCGAATAGATATTTTGCGTCGTTTTTGACGATTTTTATGTTCGTGATCGTCTAATATTAAATCTAAATCATGTGACTTTCCACATTTCATCTTTTCGTGGCAAAATCCATGATACTAAAAATTGGATACTTCATTAATATCTTCAATAATGAAATATTTAATACTAAACTTACCGCATATTGTTCACAATAGGGTTTAGAGCTATTTTTTCGCTTCCCATTTTTAGTTGAATTGATATAATCTGATGATGACGCTGCTGCTGCTTCTTTTTCTCTCAGTAGCTTTGCTGGAGGCAAACGATCTTGTACTATTGTTGTTACATGTCTTTTAATTCCTTGATGTTTCTGCTCTTTCTGTTCTCTTTCATATCTTAGAAAATTTTCACGTTATTATAGAATCAAAAGCAACATAGAAACAACAAAGACTTACTTCCGAAACAGGTAAGCGAGGAATGAGACATTTTCTCGTGTCACGTAGTCAGCCAAATATTTGGTATCATATATTCCAGCCGGGAACATTTCACTTAAATCAGCGATAAAACTACTCATTTTTTCCGGAAGGTCGGCGTAAAACGAATAATAGAGATAAAGTAAATCCATCAAGCCATAGTGTACGACAATCGGTACATTCAACGTAAAAATATGAGCAATTATAGCACGCATTATTGAGCCATGATCTTCCGGTTTGGCGTGTGGCTAAGAAAGATTAAGATCTTGTGAATACCATTATTCGATTTGAAGCATCTTGGATATATTGCTTAAATAGATTACCGAGTCATTTCCTGGATAGTATGGTATACCATGACGAATCTGCTTATTGAAATCAAACCCATTTTCTAATAAAAATTCAAGGCTTTTTGGTGTCACTTTGTATTCATGCTGTAAAACCATCATTGACATCATTAAACAAATTAATAAGTGCGTGCACTGATTCAATACTTGAATGAAGACTTACTCGACAAAACAAAGTGAAGTTGAAGTTGTGAACATTGTAGCGTTGTTCCAAATGTGATGCAACTTGTGTGGATTTTTCTTCAAAAACAGTTATTCCTAACGATAATAACGCGTGATTTTTAACTGAATTGCGCAAATTTTCATATCGTTCATCGAGATTTCTATGATGAATAAAAGACCGTCGTTAAAGAGTTGTTACATAAAACTACAATAATAAAAAGAACAACTACTCACGAAGCATGAAGACCATCTTGTCTATTTCCTAAACCAGTGAACTCCGTGTCAATTGCAAGAAAGCTTGCCTTACTTAGACAGTCTTTAATGGCGTGGAGTTGTGAATGGATATTATCTTTTGTAATGTCGTTATATACGGGCGTCATAAGTGATTTTGGTGAGTTTTCTCGACTCATAGACATTTAATAAAAACTTCACAAGTTAAAACAAAGTAGCTTAATATAATTTGAATAAATTTGAATAAACACGTTAAAACGTAAAACATCGCGGATCTGGAGAGTTAATACAAGTTGGGATTCGAACATTTCGGAATCATTGTAATCTATTGGTCAGAGATCTTCTAGATAAGACTAATTATTATAGTTATTTTCACGTGAACTATATCTGAAATGGTCAAATCCTGTGATCTGTGCTTGAAAACAGAAGTTATTAATTAAAGTGCTGGGTATTTTTAATAAAATATTAAATTTTGAATGGTAAAAAATATTTCAATTAAGTTTATACAAAGAAACATTTAGACTGTAAGATCTTTTATTGCTAAAAACATAAATCAATTTGAGTTTTCCTAGTTATTATAGAGATTTGACTATATTTCAATTAATAATACTAATCTCTTGTTATAGCATTATGACAAAAGATTAAATTCATACACAATATGTCATTATGATAAAAGATTAAATTCATATACAATATGTCATGATGACAAAAAATTAAATTCATACACAATATATAATAATGATATTGTATTATTTATTAATTGATTTATCAAGATTGCTTTTGTATATTACATTATTTACAAAATTAAAAAGCAGGGATTAGATATTAATATTAATGATAACGTGAAAGGATTTATATAAACTGGAATTTGTGAGATTTGAGTGTAATAACATGGATAGATCCTTATTGCATTATCATATTTAATCAAAGGTAAGCATCTCGAGCATAGTATCTGTTGATATATTCCGATCTTTCCCAGAATAACTTTGTACCATGATTAGTTTTGATTGTTGAAATGGACTGAAAGTTGTTTGGTTTCAGAAGCGCCATATCTTCATCATTTGTCCAAAAGTATTTTTTCTTATCGTCAGGAATATTTCTGCCGTTTTGAAAATATTCTCTGACCATTTGCAAGTTGCAGCCAGTCATATGAACAATTTGCATGACTTCTTTACGATCAACCAAGAATTCAGCAGCAATTGACGTAAGATTAATGAAAAATTCTTGTTCTGCGAGGAGCTGTGTTCCATGCTTGCTATTGGAGATTTTTTCAAGGTCGGAGGAATCAAAATTTTTGATCGATGATGGCTTCCGCTTCTTCCATTTGTTAATGTAGTTATCAGCGCAATTATCTGGGGTAGATATGGATGGAGCAGGCCTTTTTCCTAATGCCTTAGAGGATGGGACTTGATTAAATGTCCGAATTGGCAGATGATTCTGTGGTGTAGCAATATTCAAAGTGCTACCCTTCAAGTATTGTCTATTTAGATGATTGATAGTAGGCGATTCGCAAAGTTGTTCCATTGCTTCACTAAAAGCAGAATCGACATCCTCTATTTCCACATGCAATACGGAAGACACAGATTTTGATGAGGAAGCAAAAATATTTCCTGTAGACAATTGTTTATTCTTTTGCAAGACTGCTTGCGGGGACTGACTTGGAGGAGTCGTAATTCTTTCCTTTTCTAATGATTCACCATTACTGTCGTTAGATTGTAACAATATTGTAGAATTTGATGGTGAGGTGCTTGTATTATCTGTGGCTTGATCTGACCGACTTATGTGAAAGGAAACAGCCTTTTTCCCTTTATTCGTCCGTGATCTCTTTACACTTCCATCATGATAATAATCATCGGCATCATGGTTAGATAAAAAATGACACCTGGTTCGTTCTGGAGAGGGGGAATCGTCTTCGACAATTGTCGCACATGAAACTAGAGTTTGAGCATCGCTATTATCATCGAAAAAATCAGAACTCTCGTCATCTTGGAATTGATCCATGTTAATTATATCATGAACTGAAGATGATCCATTTTTGGGATCAAATTCATCGTCACCAACAACTTCATAAATATCATCTCTCGAATTTGCATTTGGCATATCGTGTGTTATCTTTGATGTTTGGGATTGGCGCCTATCATTGTTTGAATCATCAGGCAATTTTGGGATAATATGGTTTATAGCATATTCTCGTAAATAATTCCATGAATGTTCATGCAGTCCTGGATAAAGTCTATAAATTAAAGATCCGTATAGGCCTTCACCTGCATTTCTTTGAGAAATAAGATAATCGCGAAAAGTTTTCACTTCATCTTTAGTAAATATTGCTTTTGGAGATTCATTATTTTCAACATTTTCATTTGCAATAGATTGTCCATCATCATCATCACCATCAAGAGTAACGGATGATTGTCTTGAAGAGCTTATAGCATTACTCTGTTCTTGACTTTCCCTATAGTTGTTGTACATGGGACGTGTTTGTGTGACGTTGGAGCTTCTTTCCTCTTGTAAGTCGCTGCTACTTCGTATTTGTTTCAAAGGAGTACAATAAACACTGCTTGGTTCAGATTGAATTAATGTAACACTGCCTGATTCGGATTGAATTGATGTATCATTGCCTGGTACAGATTGAATTGATATAACATTAGAGACACTTGGCTCCTGTAGTTCACGTTTATCACTTAATTGTGGCGTAGAAGAGGTTGGAGCATTGTCCTGTCCTTGAAATTCGCAAATTTCAATACGAGTTGGTGTTGCATTAGGAGAAGACGTATTATCAGCATTATTTTCCTGCTGTTCTTGATTATTGGTTATTTGAGTAAGAGTAGCATTATGTATTTGCTCTTGTTCGTTAACTATTGGCGTTGTTGAGGCACTCATTCTTTCATTCGCCATATTTACGACAACGGAGCGTTCAGGAGGTAAATTTGGCATAATAAATTTTATTGCATGAGATCTAATAGATTGCCAAGGGTGACGAACATCTACCCCGGGATAAGTCCGATATATGACGTTGCCGTACAAAGGCATTCCTTCTCTTCTTTTTTGTATTAAATATTCTCTCAATTCTGCCTCCTCTTGAGCGGTATAGGAGGCGCGGCCTTTTGGACTTCCGTAAGATTGAGCGTTGGCGTTATGGTTCATTTTACAATTTTGAAACAAGAACGATAAAATTTTTGAATTGCACAGCGTAGTTTTATCGCTGGACAAGTTTCCTTTTGGGGGTAGTATCATGTGATATGGTATTCGATTTATTAAAATTAAAATTCACGCGCAATATGATTAATTTGTTTGTTGTTAAGTCTGCATAGCGATAGGAATCCTACTTGGACGAACAGAAAAGAAAATGTCTAGCATTAACATATTGAGGTTTCTTGTCATCTAGAATATACCAAATGTCTCGTTTATTCAAGTAATCATAAAAATCGATCAGATCTGTACCAAATTGTATATGTTAATATGCTAAAAAAAAAAAGCCCCGGACATTTAGCTCTGCTTTCATTTTTCAATATAATTTGTCGTCTTTTTCTTTTCATGTTGCTTGAAATAGACGGTATCAAGTAACTTGATCGATGGGTTAGATTTTTTTTGCAGATTACCACAAATAAAAAACTATCAATTTACTTCGAGAATGCATACTCATACATTGATCTTAGTAAAACCTACATAACGATAATTAAAAGCCAGCCATAAACTATAATTTCTAATCTTTTTTCATTCGATACATAAAATAGACGATTTATATTTTCACTCATAGTTATCATTTATTTTATCTTTCTTGCGACAAGATGTACGGATTCCAAATGGTCCTAACCCACCTGCAACTTCTCCCAAATATTACCTCGAATTTGTTTGATGTTTTAGTAATGTAACTTTCATGTCAATTTTCGATTAGATTGTTCGTTACGCATAACACTTTCTGAATCACAATATCGTTGATTATAGAAATTGATTTGCTGTCAAAAATGAAAGAAAGTATTTCTCCCCTGTTTTGCTTCATCATTTTGTATACAACCATTTTAGCCATTGGATTTTTTTTCCATCCAAGCCAGTAGACAATGTCCCATGAAACAGAAAAAATGATGCTGTTCTTCCTTTAAAGAATGCATGTTATTTTTCCTGTACAGTAATACAAAGTCAAAACATAATGCCAGGTAATCAAGAGCACAATTCACAGAACTAATATCGATATATAAAAATTGTATGCTTGAATCAAAATGTTTTAGATGTCACTATTGTCAAGTTTTTTGCAATTACTGTCAAAATAATCCTGAACCAGTGAATTAAGCTTCGGCACACTATGTTTACATCCTGAAATTTGTACATTTGATTTGTCTTCCTCAACTTTCTCATCTTTTTCATCCTGCCCTCTTACTGCATCGGTCAAGATTTCATTTGCTTGTATCCTGTAATCTTGAGCATTTGGCTCTTCATCACTAATCTGCTTGAAAGAGCTAAAAGAACATGAGTATGAAAATTCGGTTCATAAGCGTCCTGCAAGCTCCAAATTTCTTAGACTTGTTGAATTAAATCAATGTCCACAAATTTTCCAATTGATTTTTTGTCTTAAAATTTCATTAAATATCTTACAAGAGTAAAATGATGAAGGGCCATTATCAGACCTCTGTGTCTACAAAGAAACTGTATTTCTTATGTTTAAAGTGATATACTCTGAAGTTGAAATCAACTATTGTAACATTCACTATATGAAAAGAAGAAATAAATATTAAAAGTCAACTGGAAGGATTATCAAGCTACAAAAACATAGATACTCATTCTTTAGAGTCTTTATCATCTGGATCGGATACATTATTTTGAGATTTATCTGAATCAGATATGTCATTTCATCATGTTCGAAAATACCATTCTGGATATAAATAAAATCTGAATAAAATCTAACAGGGTTAAACAAGGGACTGGATCAATTATAATGCCAAGACAGAGGATGGTCCAACAAAGCAAAGAGTTTTAGAAAGATATGTCGAAACACAGAGGATTCTACACACGTGAAGACAGAGGATCACAGTGGCTTCACATCTCTCCGCTAGTAACGCTTCTGAAGACGGAGGATCTTTCCCTGCATTCAAGACAGATGATGAACACAGAGAGAGCATTCCAACTTCGGTTCAATTCTGTACAAAAAAATAACGATATTAAAAAAAAAGCACGAATATTGATTAAATAGTTGCCAAGGGTTTTTTTTGATAATTTCCGAATCTGATGTTTTTATTAATGTTGGTTCACTAACAGCTAGGACGTCACGTTTTAAACTACCCAAGTATTCCGAGACGCCAGGTTTCTCTAGGATTTTTATAAATGAACCCAAGCTACGCCTACCTTTTTAAAAACCTCGCCTGATGATTCGACTTTGATTTCGCATTTAGAGCTTGACATTTTATTTGTGCGCTTCAAAAAAACAATTTATACAAAATAAAAATATATCTTTCATGGTACATAGCTAATGTATTACTATACATTCCATGAGCCTTCCTGTTTTATGTAACACATTACTAGTCTCAGGATTATCACAACATAGTCTTAATCATAGAAGTGGCAACTCTAACGAGATATGGAACTTTTCTTTCAGGCCTTTGGAAAGTTTCTGCATTAACTACTTCTGTATACTCGGAAAGTCGGGAAGATTCCTAAAATTAGAGACATCAGTAAAAAATGTTGAAAATGTACCAAACAAAAATAAAAGATTTACCAGATGCAAAGCTTCTCTTAATGAGGTATTTTTAGTTATAATAATAATTTCCGCTTCAAGATCTCGTTCAGTGGATCTATATCCATAATTTGGTGATCCAATCATTGTGAGACTTGGACGCGTTTCTCCATTATTATAACACCATAGGCCTTTTTATAAACGAGTATTTGTTGATTTCGAAAATAATGGATACAATAAAGCATGTGTAGAACCTATGGAATATTTTTAATACCTTTAGCGTGGAATGTCCACCCTGAACGATTATACTCGATTATCTTTATTATATGCTCTTTGCCACGTCGACAAACTTCATTATAGAATTGTTTTTCAATCCAAGTATACGCGGGCGGGATGTATTTTGAAATTCCCTTTGAGCGGAAAAATCCATTGGCCTGATAAAAAATGTGTTTATTAATAATAAAGGTCTAATTCAATTTAATAATAAAACAATTACCTCCGGTGCTGCAGCCAACAACCGAAATTTCGCATTAGTACCCAAGATCTTTTCTTTATATCTTTTACTAAAGTTAAAATACCCCGAAGAAAAAATCACGGTCCATAACTCATTTTCATTCACTTTTTGCCGTCCATTTTTCTCGATCGAGTCTAACACGCAGAGAGTCGCCCGTTCATCTTGTCGGATGTTCAATGGAGCCATTTGTGTTACAGGAAAGATAATCGTGTCGAATTCCGCGTTAATTTCACTTTGATGATGTTTTCTTGTTAATTCAATCCATTTATTGATGAACTCTTTCATTATATATGAGCTGCGTTTTTTGAAAACTTTGCTATTGGTAATTGGATCGGGCACATTGGAACAGTCGATATTGAATTGATTTTGAATTGTATTCAATGGCAAAGCGTATGAGAATTTTCCGATTGTTTGTAAAAGTTCAGCGAAGTAATCAGCAATGGAAGGCATTCTTTCTATAATCATGTATCTATCCTGTCGATTCGTAAAATAATCATGGCTTAGATTGGCTCTAGAAAAAGAAGATGAGAAATGTGAAAAAGAATATCAAATGTATAGTAGAAAATATAACATACCTACCCACTCAATATGAGATCATCATCAAAACCAAATGCTTTGATATGCATCAAACCGATTCCTTCGTTGATTCGTGGCGGCGCGACTTTTTTTAAAATTCCGGTGAGATCAGGCGTATGATACAGTGACACGGTCACTTGATCAGGAAATTCTTCAACTAATAGTGATAAAAGTGTCACTGAAGATTCACCGTTAATCCGCGATCCAACACGCGTCGAACGTAAGTAGTCGACTAGAATATGAACATTTAACTGAGGCGTTTTCTTAAGAGCTTCTCTGATTGTGTTGACCTTTTAAATGGCGAGATCGTTGACCAATGAAAAGCTAGTAAGGGAAGAATAACAGAATCAATTTGTTTCCCTTAATGTAGATATACCGTTGGTATATCACACCCGAGAGGTTTTTTTATAACGGAAATCCTACCAATTCTTTCTCGGTGTGCCCAATGTAAAGAGCCGCCAGGAATATGCGTTTTTTGGCAGATAATATTCGACTCTACGTCATTAATAATTCTGGTTTTATTAGCTTGTGTTCGAGAGCAATTACGTTGACATACATAAACGAAATTAACCTTTAACTCCTCATGAAATTCCTTAGGATTATTCAATATTTTAATTTGCTCTCCCTTCAAGTAAAATACGGGTGCTATGTCATGCAAATCGGAAAATAAATTAAAAGGTTCCTGTTGTAGAATTTGACTTCTCGAGCCAATTGTTGCTATGTGGTGATTTTTATTGAAAAATTGGCAAAGTGCATTATTAGACTTTTGATAATGCAGATTGTAGATAATTGCGCAGTTACTAAAGATGAATTTAGAAGGATTAATGAACAACGAGTAAATGGAATAACGAGAATTGTAGAGTCTTTGTTGAAATTGACTTCGAGGGCACATGGAGCAGACGCTTGCCATTGCTATTATAGCGAATGTATCCAACATTTCTCATTGTATGACCCAATGACTCATTGGGCGCGATAGATTTACACGATTTGCAATTTTAGTTGTGCTACTACGTTGAACTTTACTTTTTTACAATTTAAAAAATGTCTTTCGATATCTTCTGGGAGAAATTAGATCAACAAGTCGCGCAGAACGTGCAAGATTTGTTAAACAGTCATTTCCGAAATACCAATAATAAACCTTCTTTCATAGGGGACATTGAGATTTCAGAATTTGATTTTGGAACAATGCCACCAGTAATTGAAATTATTGACATGACAGAACCGTTTCCCGAGTTTTACTTACCCGACGACGAAGTTGAAGAAGCGCGTTCGGAAGCAGATTTGCTGGGCAATGAAGAAGCGGAACAACAGTCAGAGTACTTTTATTTCCCTCCTTCTACACCACCACCTAGACATTTTCATAGATCATTATCCGCGACTCCACAACGACAACAGCAGCAGCAGCAGCAGCAGCAGCAACAGAGGCTTCAACCACCACCACCACCACCACCACAACCACCACAAACGCCGTCTGGCTTCAGTGAGCTCTATAACCGGACGGAAGAAGAGGAAGATATTGTGCTTAAAAAAGATACTGATGCACAAGTTCACATTTCATTTTCTTATCAGGGAAATATGCGAATGACAGTGTCAACTGAACTACGAATGAATTATCCTAGCATGATGTTTATGAGTTTGCCAATACGGCTGACGGTAACTGGTTTTAACTTTTCCGGTAAGCTTTCTTTTCATGATTATTATATCATATTATTATCGTATTATGAAAGTTATTTCATTGTACATTATCTTTGCACACAACAAAAGGTAACAAATTAGAATCTAAAGAATCAATTCAGTCAGCAACACAATAGCAGCTATAGCCTTATTAATAATTTATATCTCGAAGATTATACATATCCTTATCGTTTAGGAATTTTTTTCGTTCCTCTTCTATTTTCTTGAAGTATTAATGTTTTCTTTGATAATAGGTACCGGAATAATTGCTTATCTTCGACGACGCGTAAATTTTTGCTTTTTAGAGCCAAAAGATCCTAATGAGAGGTATTAATAAATATTCGCCTTTTTTTTGAGTTTTTCAAATAACAGTAATGCATTATTATTCAATTAAATACACTTTTAGTTTATTAAAAGAAGTGCATATTGAGTCAGAGGTCGGCGATAAAGAAAAGCAAGGTATTCTTTAGCTTAAAATTCTAACTATTCTTTTATTCTATTAATCAAATCAATTTTATATAGTTCTCAAGAATGTGGGTAAAATTGAAAGATTCATTGTCGATCAGCTACGTAAAGTAATTGACGAAGATTTTGTATTTCCAAGCTATTATTCTGTTGATTTGGATTAATTTTATTTATTATTAAAGTAATTGTACTAACGGTTGTAATTGTAACTTAAAAAAATCGGTTTATTTAACACCAAATAAATAATCTTAATATTATAAGGATCGTTCTTAATATATTTATAAATCGGATAATATTAATTAATTTAACAATGTTAAATAAACTAAATATTATTTTGCCTGTAACCAAGAAAGCGAATTTCAGATTCCCAAAAGCAAACGACGAGGATCTTCGACTTGTTCTTTAATTGTCTTAAGGAATGTGACAGCCTCGCGCCCGTCAATTAAGCGATGGTCATAAGTTAGAGCGACATACATCATTGGACGTACTACGACCTGAATATGAAATTTATAAATTATCGAAATGAAACATGAAAACATACTTGCTATCTTGAATTGTTTACCTGTCCCCGGATGGCAACAGCACGTTCTTTAACCGCATGCATACCCAAAATAGCACTCTGTGGCAGATTTATAATCGGAGTTCCATATAACGATCCGTATACGCCACCATTCGAAATTGTAAATGTTCCACCTGCCATATCTTCAATAGTAAGTTTTCCATCTCTGGCCTTTATTTTATTTTGATATAATATAACATCCAATCAACATAGATACGCAGATATATTAACATAAAAGCCAATTTTTATTAAATTACCTTTTGTCCCAATGCTGCAATGGCTTTCTCAATTTCCACAAACGATCCCATGGCGTGAGCATTTCTCAAAACAGGGGTTACGAGACCTTTAGGAGTTGCAACAGCAACACTTAAATCCACATAGTCTTTATACACGATGGTATCACCACCATTTGGACCTTCAATGGTAGCATTGACTACTGGTATCTCTTGAAGAGCAAATACAGAAGCTTTTACAAAAGCAGACATGAATCCGATTTTCACATCATATTTCTTTAATATAATATCTTTGTATGAATTACGAAGTTCCATAATATTACTAGGTTATATGTAATAATGATATTAATATTTTGATTTATGATCTGAAGATGATTACAACACACACACACACATATATATATACATACGTCATATCAATTTCGTTAAATGTGGTCAAAGAAGCGGCTGTATTTTGTGATTCCTTGAGCCGTTCAGAGATTCTCATTCGCATTCGATTCATTTTAACCTTTATTTTATTATAATTGCTCATTAAAGGATTTGATTTCGATAAGGTAATGAATAACATCAACATACCCGACGTTCTTCACGATCTCCGAAAGGAGCTGCAGCTTGTGTTGGAGGGGTCGGTTGAGGTGCTGCGTCAAGGGTAGGTGCAGGTCGAGGTGTAGGTTGAGGTGCTGTCGCGGCCTGAGGCGTAAGTGTTTTCTCTTTTTTAGGTTTCTCATGTATCTCTGCTTTAGTCTCTTTAGGTGCTTCTGGCGTAACAGCGGGAGCTGATGTGTCTATAATATTAAGTAGAGTCAGAATTTGAGTAAATTTATAAAGATCTTGTCGTAGAGATTAACAGCCATAATATTATGAAAATTAATTAATGAGATTCATCGTTTCAAAGTTAACCGATTTATATATATGATATTTCGTACCATGCTGAGGTGTAGGTACTTCCTCTTTTTTAGGCTCCTCTCGAGACTCTGTTTTAATCTCTTTAGGTGTCTCTGGCGTGGTCGCGGGAGCTGATGTATCTATAATATCAAATAGGATTTGAGCAAAATTATAAAGACCTTGTCATAGATATTAAAGCCATTGAATTTACCGGCAGCTGGCGCATCACCCAATTCGATCCTGAGAAGTTTACCGCCAACTTCTACGTTATCTTCTTCCTTAGCATATAATTCAACTATTTTGCCCGCGTATGGAGCATTGACAGGAACATCAATCTTTAATGTTAAGAATGAAAGGTAATAGTTAAAGAAAAGAATTATTCTACTTTAGATGTTTATAAAAAGATTTAGTCAAACCTTATCCGTCTCAATTGTTGCTATTTCTTCATCTTGTTGTACAAACTCTCCAACCTCTTGCAAAAAAAAAGAAATCAAGATTTAAATAATTATTAATTTTCTTCGTGTTTTATGACATTTTTATACATACTTTTATTCCATTTCTTTAAGGTGCCTTCAGTGATAGATTCGGCCATCTTAGGAACATCGACGATTTTATCGACTAAATATCCATAAAGATAAATCTCAAAATGAACAAAAACGATATATGTTTAATTACCAAAAATGAATCACCTCCATCAATAAACCGTTTTACCATAATATCTCGCCTGTATCCATCGTGGACGTATCAATGGGTTATAAGAGTTATTTCTGGAGAATGTATGGATTAACCGAGGGAGATTCAGAGAGCGCAGATTCCCCACTATCATCAATCACAAATCCCCAACACAAATTTTAACATTTTTTTTAATAAAGACTTGGCACACGTATGCACAGATAATTTGCCGTTGTCGGGAGACTCTAACCTTTTATTATTAAATTCATGAAAAGAGATTCTTGAATGTGGACTACCAAAAGTATTGTTATAGTAACATAAATTTCTTTAATTCCCATAATTTTTGGAATTACGATTTCTGACCAATCAGACCTTACTTCGAAACCCAGTGATCAAAGATTATAGTTGGTGTATCAGTTATAGTAATTAATAATTCGGAACTTCCATATTTAGGCAAGGTAGTGGCCGTGTTACTTATATTGCTTGGATGTATTTTATATTTTTAAATATATTTTTTAATCTTATTCTTAATTCTAATTATCTTATTAAATTAATCAAAATAATTTTTGTGATAATATTTTATTTATTACTTCTTTAATTATTTATAATTATATTTTTTATTATATATTTCTTTTTATCTTCAATTATTTTAAAATTATAAATAAATAAAATTCTTAAATAAGTTATATTTTATTATATAAAAAAATTATTATACAGTGATCATCAAAAATAATGTAATGCTTAAATTTTTTATTAATTATAATTAGTAAATTATATATTTTTTCTTATATATAAAAGTTTTTAATTTTACTAATAAATATTTTTTATTTTTAGTTCAAAAAATAACTAAAGTTTTCTAATTTAATATTATTATCTTTTTGATGTAAGATTAATTTCAGAGATGAGTATAATTTTTAAACTATCAAAAATATATTATATTACTAAGAATTATAATGTTAAGTACTTCTTTATAGTATATTAATAAGAATATATTCTTTTATTAAGATTTATTAAAGATTATTTCTAAAAATAGATAATAATAATATTCATAAGATAATTAGCTAGAATATAATCTAATTTTAAAGTATAATTCAAATAAAGATATAATAATTAGTTTATTAACAAGATAAAATAATAAATCTTAATTAAGATCTATTTTATAAGAGATATTTCTTAGAATTCTCTTTAATTATATTTTACTAAAAATATAATTTAAAAACTAAACTTATAGAACTTAAAATCTCAAGAAACTAAATTAATTAACTATTAATTGACTCAATAACTTACTTAATATTTTACTAGTTAAGATATAATACTTTTATATGTTTTAAAGATTATATGAATAATATTTTTATTATAATATTTATATTACTTTTATTATAATCAAAATATTACTTTAGCTAGTATTATAATACTAGTTTTATTATGATAATATTACTAGTTTTACTATGATAATTTTATTAACTTTGCTATAATAATTTTGTTATAATTATTATATTTATAAAATCATTTATAAATATTTATAAATAATATTTTCTATAGCTAATATTTAATAAAATATAAGTAATTAATTATTTAATTATATTATAATATAAAGTGATTAATAATAAATAATTAATTAATATTTTATTAAAAGTTTATATTATAATAAGATTCTTTTTATTTTTGTAAAATTTAAAGTTAAATATCAAATTTTTATATAACTTAATAACTTTTTAAAGTTATTATTTATTATTCTTTCAAGTTTTATTGATAATAACTTTCTTAAACTAAGAATAAATTATTCTAAAATATGTTAAAATAATTTATTAGATCTATTAATAATCTTTTAATATTAAGATAATATATTTTTAGTTATTATATATAAGAGCTTATTATAAAAAAATAACTTTTCTCTGATTAAGTTTATATTTATTATGATATTTACTATTTTTTTATTCTATTTAAAGTATATTATAATCAATACTTTTACTAGATGATATAATAATAACTATTTCTAATATAATATCTTTCAAGATGATTTTTGTTCTTAATTTATAAGTTAATGATATTTTAAAAAAATTTAAATGAAAAATTCAAAATAAATTTTATTATTAAATAAAATAAGAATGATATTTATAATAAATTATTATTTTATAGATAAATATAATACAAAATAAATATATTAAAATAAATAAATATATATTATAATTAAATAGATCATAAAAATTTTGAATTAATATATTTTTAAATAGATTATATAAGAAAGAATTTTTCAGATTTTTAGATCTATAATATAGATTAATTTTTATGTTTAATTTTTATATTATAGTATGTAATTCTATAATTTAGATTATATTATTATTGATTTAGAAGTTAATATAATTTTGTATTATATCAAATGATTATTTAGCTATATAACTCCTATTGATACTTTCTAAATTAATTTGAGTTTGATATTTATTTATTATTCTATAATTAATTTCTATTTTTCTATTTTTATAATTAAATTATACTTTTTTTCATTTATTTTATAATTAATAATAATATAGTTTTCTTATAAATTTTATAATTTTAATATAAGTAAAAATAAAATTTCATAACTAATAATTATTCTAGCTTTTTTTTAATATAAATAAATAAGTATATTTTATTATTAAATTATAAAATAATATTTTTTTTATTATTTTTTTTAGAGAATATTATTTTCTGATTTTTATTTTGTTTTCTATATTATTATTATTATTATTATATTATGTGGATGAAAGATATTTTGATATATATGATATTAATATAAAGTTTTTTTTCTTAAAATTCAAAATTTTGAGAATCTAATAGTGTTATGATATTATATTATTATTTTTTTATTATTTTTTTATTATTTTTACTTCTATTAGTTATTGATATTTATGAAATACTAATTATATCTTATCTATATTTATTAATAACTTTATTATTATCCTTTTCTATTTTTTAAATTAAAGATAAGTTATTATTATTTTTATTATATTCTTGATTATCTGATTAATAATTAGTAGATTAAATAACTTTATATTCTAAATATTAATTAATTTTGATATTTTCTGAAATCTAATCATATAGTATCTGTTAAAAATATTTTCTTTCATCCTAGATCAATAAGAAGATAAGATAAATAAAAAATCTTTTTTTTATTTAAAAGCTCTAATTTTATTTAACAAGATTAGTATATAATATAATCACTTTCAGTCTTAATTAAAACTTCTATATACTCTCTTATACTTGAGACTAATTAAATTACATATTTTTTAGATAAATAATACTATTCTTTTATAACTTTTCCTTCAAATTCTTAATAATTCTAATTTTTTTATCAGATTATTTTTTATGAGTCTTTAAATATTTTCAATTAGATTTTAATTAAAAAATATTAATAGTTATAAGAGAATCTTTATATCTATTTTCTTCTTTCATATCTTTGTGATTTTTAAATAATACTTGAAATTATTATCTTCTTAAAGAATTTACTAATTATTTTTCTAATTAAAAAGTTTATCAACAAATAATAAAAGACTTATTTTATATTATAATCAATTATCTATTTATATGATGCAGTAGATGTAATACAGTATATGACACAGCTATAGCACATAATGTAATAATCACTAATCATTACTAAATTAGACAAATAAGAAATTTATATTAATTAATCTTATTTATTATTAATTCTATTTTTAATTTATATTATTACCTATATTTAGTCTTATTTATTTATTAATTTAGTCATGTATATCATACTTAATTTATAGTTTTATTAAATTAATAATTGCCTAAATAATTATTATTAATTTTCTTTTATTTCTTACTTTAGCTTTAAATAACTTAATGTTTTGCTAATTTTAATTTTTTATTATTATATATTTAATATTTTTTATAATTATTCTTTTCAAATTCTACTTATTCTTGAGTAAATTAAGCAAAATATTATGTTAAAAATAATTTGTAATTAGTGTAGTAAGAAAAATATTATATATAAAAAGTTAAGAAGTAATCAAGAAGAATAATTAAGTTTGATAGAAAGAATTAGCTATTGAGTTAAGAATAGTTAATTAGTATTTTTCCTTAATAAACATATATTTTATTAAATATCTTATCTTATTTTCTTCTTGTTTTATTGAAAGAGCATTTTGTTAAAAGTAAAATATGTATAAATTATCTTATTAAGAAGATAATTATATTTTATTAGAAGTAAATCTTATATATATTATCTTATTGAGAAGATAATCAGTTATATAATCTCTTAAAGTTATAAAAGTAAATAATTATCATAAATATAATTATTATTACTATTTTAAAATACTTATATATATATAAGCTTAAAATAGTAATAATATATATTTAGCAGAAAATTAATTTTAAGATTTTTTATAAAATAAATCAGCTTGTCAAGGCTTACAAATAAAAAATATCTTTATATATAGATCTTTAGAAGATACTTCATAAAATAACTTATCTTTCTTCTTTTAGAAAATTTCTAAGTTTATTTTATATTTTAATTTAGATAAAAGATAGTTTTATCTGAAAAATTATCTTATTCTAGTTAAAGTTTTTATATTTTTTTTACCTATTTTAGCTATTTTTGTTGATATTTCTCTGTAAAAAAGATTTTAAAAACTTGCTCATGTATTTATTTTTCTCTTTATGAAGATAATATTATATAATATATATACTAATAATAATATTTTGCTTAAGTATTTCCTTTTAAATTTCTAAAGTTATTATATTAATTTTTTTTGTAAGCTTTATTATCTGCTTATCTTATTATTAAATAATCATTTTTTATTAATCTACCTTTGATTTATCACTTAAATCTTGATTTTTTCTCTATCTTTAGATCTAATAACAGACTATTTTTTTATTATAGCAAACTATTTTAGCTATTTTATATATTAATAACTTGAGATCTTTTAGATAGATACATAAAAAAATAATTTTATATCATTAATTTAAATTTAAAAATATATTTTTAAATATATTTTTAGATATAATAGAGCTTTTATTTTTTATTAATGTATAACTTTCTA